TCTGAAATCTAGTCGAGCTTGGAAAACAAGTCAGTGATGCCGCTAGCATTATTTTGGAAAAAGAAGTTGCACATTTATGTTCTACATAATTTCACTGAAAATATAATGTGCAGATATAAAAAAGCAAAGGCTGAATTGTCTCGAGACGATGAGTCTGTCTTGAGAATATTTGTGTAATTTTATGGAAACTTATCCCATAGCTTTTTTCCCCCTCCTGTGACAGAAATCCAGCATCTTTGTTGAACTCCGAAATGGTTTGCTTTGTCACTGGATAAAAGTGAATATCCCTTTAGGACCCGCTGTGACGGCGGCGTGTTTTTCCTTTCAGAGCCGTACGCGATTTAAGAAAGTTTTATATGCTTACATTTCAAAAACGTCGTAGTTGAGAGGCTTGCAAATGTTGCACCCAGCCTTAAAGGGATTTGCACTTGTTGCAATCAGACTTAAGGGGTTTAATTTCTTTTTGTTTTTGCTACAATACTGTGCCAGAGTCCCAAGACTCCCCCTGTTTCTTTATATTTTCATAGGACTATGGGAAACAGGTGCATCAATTTATTGAAATGTCCAAACATATATGAAAATACAGCATATACACATACAATAGAGTTTGTACAGTTTTAGTGAGCTTTAAGGTCAATATTTGGTATGAAGAGCTTTATTCTTCAACACAGCCTGAAGTCTCTGAGGTAGCTTTCTTGTAATTTATTTAAATAGACCACAGGAAGAGTTCTCCGGGCTTATTGAAGGCCATTCAAAGCTTCCTTTTGGATGTTGGCAGCCTTCAGATGATCCCACACTGCTTCAATAATGTTGAGGTCTGGGCTTGAGGAGGTCAATTCATAATTGATAGTGTTACGTTGTGTGTTTTTCTATCTAGGTATGCTTTTACTGCACTGGCAGTGGGTAAGGGATCATTATACTGAAAAATGAAGCCACTACCAATCAGATATTTGCCAAATGTTACATGGTGGATCAAAATCTGACTGTACTTTTCTGCACTTATAATTCTAATTTCAGTTTTTACAAGATCCCCAACATCACTGGCTGAAATTCCACACCAAACCATCACAGCACCTTCACCATGTTTTATAGATGGCTGATCACTCCTTAAGACTTATTTTCAATCCAGTTCTTGTGTAATTTGGCCTTTTCTCCTGTTTCCCCTTCTTTGATAACCGCCTTTCTATTGAGACCATTACTAATGAGGCTTCAGTGAACGTTAGATGGATCAATTGAAGGTCCAGATGCATCTCTTAGGTCCTGTGTAGTGTTTTCGGCCTCTCCAGTTTTTTTTTTTATTGTTTTGTACATTCTGCACATTGTAAACACAATGCTGGCTTTTTTTTATGAATGATGATTCATAGGTCAGTGTGTCCAATGACTTTTTTTTAAATTAACTTTTAGAAAATACATTCATTCATAAATGACCGGCACACAGAATAGTAAGGCTTGAACCTGACAATTATTTTCTGCTATCTGGATATCCCGACTCCACTGCAAGCCCTGAAATACTGGCTTATTGGCCATTTAGCCTCTGGGGTCAGACGCTAAATCATCAGACAGTAGCTGGTGGCTTCCCGAATTATGAGATCAACCATCTTAAACCCACTTGTGGATTTTCAGTTAAAATCCACAAGTGGGTTTCTGTATGTTTTGTCACTTACCAGCAGCAGCTGTGCCCTCTCCAGTCACCTCTCCAGCTTTTTGCCATCCATACATCATTCCCCTTTCAAAGCAAAGCCAGCCCCATGAGCACAAGGATAACAAAACTCACTTACTTCCACAGGCAATTCATCCCTCACTGACCCACTTGTTTTCACAATCTGACAAGTGTGATTTAAGAACTGCGGTAGGCCAGAAGTGCGGCAGCCACATCTGGCTGCTCTTACCTGCTTCAGGAGCTTAAAGTTAGTGACACTGCCACTTTTATACTGATACTTTTTACTCCACTGTCATCAAACTAAGATAAATCGATGAATTTACATACATCGCCCGAAGGCTTCACTGTACTCTTGGTAACTTTTTTTCCCTTTCTTGATAAATCGCTCAGCTTGCGGTGTCAACATTATACAGAAAGGAAGCCAGTGAGCACAAGCAATGCATAATACATGTGTTGAGCATGACTGAATACACATAGCAAAACCACATCTATACCCCCACACTGGGCGCTAGGCAAACAAGACTTTGCCTCCCCTCATTTGAATAAAATACTGTATTTGCCTTTTTCTCCGTTCCTCCGTGAATTTCACATGTTAGCGAGTCTGCAGCTTCGTGTGTGCAAGCATGTGCTCCATTTAGTTTGTAAAAAAACAAAACAAAGCTCAGGAATGCACTTCACAAACACTGACATTAAGCAGACTCGTTATCAGTCATTTAATCAGGCCAGGCTTTAAAGGGGTTTGAACTGGATTACTCACTGACATGTTAATGTGACTTTCTTACCACAATGGTGTGCTGTGGGAGGCCTCTGACTAATGTGTTTTGTCCAATAAAAATGGCACCCTCTCTTTCTAAGCCAAAGACTTCACCATGCCAGTTTCCTGCTGGGCCGTAAGTTTTTCTCCACCACAATGTGGGAGAAAAAAAAAGAGGTGAGAATACGGCATAAGTGTGAAATGTTGCACACTAAGTAGACAGTAATTCCTGTGCAACTAATTAGATGTTTGCTTATCCAAATGTTATCTGAGACATATTCAATCTATTACCACATCTTTATGTTCTTTATGTCAACACCTGCATCCACTTATAGTAATTATGTTTTTTTATTAGCCTTTATTGGTAAGGTGTACTGAAAGAACTGAAAGCAAGAAGTACATTAAAATATAATACTAATATTGTGGATGAATGAGCTTTAGCATTTTTCTTGCTGTTTGCTTTGTTTCCTTTTGACATACATATTGACTTGTGGCTTTCACTGGTTTAAGCCAGTGATATATTAAAACAATGCTCTCACCAGTGCTGCGCAGTTACCCGCCTATACTTATCTGTGATGCTGGATGATACAAAGTAATTAAACTATAAAGATAATCTAAAGACTTAATGCCCTGGATCACCTCTAACTTGCTCCTCACTTCAGATGAAAATCCCGCATTGCATTAGTTATGGCTGGCCACAAAGTTCAGGCAGATCAATACTAGTCCACATCAACTGACAACCCAGCTGATGCCCTTCTACACTTCCAATTAGTAAATCTCATATAAGGCTCAATATTTAGCCTCCTTTAGCTGACCCATACCTGGTGCGCATCTGCACACTGCTTTGCAACCCATCTCCACCCCAGCTCCTCCTTCTGTCCTCACTGATGCCTGCTCAGGATTTCCATATATGGGCATGGAAGGAGATGGAGGTTCCAGAAATAAGTCATATCTTTAAATATAAAAAACTGCATGCTCAAATATTCGTTTGATTATTGTGGACCTGAATGAAACTGGCTTATTGTAATAATTGCAATGTATCTACTTATATTGACCTCCTGTAATATTATGAGCCAAGATTATGTCTTTCACCCCACATACAAAACATGTTTCTGTGACCGCTTCTTTTTAACCTATAGTGAAGTGTAGCATAAAATTGAGGAAAATCCTGTCTCAGAGTTAGTCAGTATCACCCTGAGACACTAAATCCAACTTTGAGGATGGACTGTTGCATTTCTTTATTATCAGGGTGTCCAAAAAGCATTCTGAAAAACTGCCTTTGTTGAAGATTTCTTGTTCTTAAACGGAATGCTTATTTTTTTCCATCTCCCTACTGTCGCTAAGTGGTTGCTTATAAGGTGTCATTTGGTTTCAGTCTGTTATGCTGGTGCGTGTTTATCATATAAATTATATAAATGTGCCTTGAGATAACTATTGTTGTCACTCGGTGCCATCTAAATAAACCTAAATCAATTCGAACAAAGAGTAAGGGATTATAAAAGTGGATTTATCCTGCAATTTAACTTGGTCTTGCATATTTTCTGCAAGCCTGTGATGCAGAAATGGTGCCAAAGGTTTTATCATCATGTCACGCAGAACATAATGCAAAATGGAAAAGCAAAAAGTTAATTCATTACAAACTTCATGATGAAATTTTGCCAGAATAGTTGTCTCAGCTACCAGCCTGTGCTGCACGCTGCCTCTCCTGCCTTGAAATCGTTATCAGGCTTTAACTCCAAGTTCATCTGAGCAGAGAACAAATCTGCATATTACAGATCAAGGGCAGACTACAGTAGGCGCAGCCAGTCAGTCATGATAAGAATCACTTCCCATTTTTTTTTCCTCCATGAGAGACGTTGGAAAAAAACAAGATTCCCATCAGTGTACAGTTTTTTTGTTTTTTCTTTCCGCCTGTCTGTTTTGTTCTCTTTGCTGTGATCAGTTTCTGATTATTAAGGTGAAGGTGAGATATCACTTTTCTGATTTGCATAGATATGCAAATGCTCCTGGTTACAATTGAGTTGCTGAGACCGGTGATATCAATTGGTGCCTTTGTTATTATGTGTGTTCTCCCACTCCATGTGTATCTGCTAACTGTATCTGGGTCATGTTTTTTTTTTCTTTTCTCTTTGGTGTTTGTGTTCCTTGTCTGATGGATGTGTACTGTATTCAAAGCCAGATGCTCATACAGCGTAAGCCAAGTTGATCATGATGGTGCTGGCAGTCAGCTGATGTAACACAAGGTTTACACTCAGGGGTTATATTAGCCGTTATTACTCACTGATAAACTCTTATGTAGTAACCGTATATTTATCTGAGTCAGCAAGAAAATAACATATAAATAACCCATCAGTCTGAACTTAAACCTAAATCGGGAGACATTTTTCCTTGTCTCCAAAGATGAGGGGTTTTTGTCATTTGTTGTTTTTTGCAGTGCATTCTTTTGATTCTGCTGCCAACAAGCAAAACATCTCCTAAACTCTACCTGAGCTGTGAAAATGCTTTGTTTTCACACACAGTGCCAAAGTGCTAGAGTATCTCCTGCAAACCATTATGTCAATTTCTATTTCTTTCTTCTCTGTTTAGCATCCTCGTCCAGCATGAACATCACACTGGAAGGCCAGTACCACTGTAACAACGGGCCTGAGATCCCACTGGACAAACTCTGTGACTTCAGTACAGACTGCCCGCTCGGCGACGACGAAGGCAACGTGTGTCGTGAGTACACCCTACGCACGGGCCGCTGCCCTTTCTGTGTTTTTGGATAAAAACAGCGCACGTGAAGTCGGTCAGCTGGGGTGAGCCTCATTTAATGAAGCTGTTGCTTCCTGCCCAGCAGAGCAGCAACGGAGCATCTTCATGAGCTTTTCCTGAAAGAGAAGCACAGGGAAAGGCCAATAAAAAAAAGCCAGCTTGGCGAGCATTTCTCACCCTTGACATATTCTGTAGCTGTTATTTCTATCTCTTTGCACATTTGTTTTGTGCTTTTCTCGAGGCCTAGGAGGAACACTACCAAACTATGCTGACATCTCATTCACAAGTGAAGTCCCCCAGGCCTCGCTGTTTGTGTGTGTCTATGTGCGTGTGAGTCCCGAGGATCTTTTTTTAGTCCTACCTGAATGTATTTGTGTTGTTTCTGTGACTTATAACCACGCCGTTGAGATCTTTAACCCCTACGTATGTTGTAGCTTGATTTCAGAGTTCTTCATCCATACTATACTGAGCAAAATTAATTTGCCCACAGTGCAGGTCAGCCTCCCATGTGGTGCTTATTAAAATGATGGCTGCTCCCTCGTGTGTATAGGTTTGCTAACAATGAGAGCTGAAAGATAAGAGGGTGAAAATCCCAGCCAGGCACCGTCTCTCTTTCTACTGGAGGAGGACTTATCAGTCCTAATTGGCCTGAGGGGCTAACTCAGGGGTATAATCTCCATTTGAATACAATGTGTATGTAACATTTTGATTTCATAAGATTTACTTGGACATCTGAGCATAAGTAACAATCAGTAAAACACAAAGCCGGTTTGTACACGTCGTAGCAATATTCCTGAATTGTGTTTTCAAGACATTAATCAGACTGGTGGCTGCACACTCGTACATCAGTAACAAAAAGAGCATGGCAACTCATGTGTAATATTTGACACAAACTAATGGGTTCTGCAGAGAGAGGCTGATTGTTCTGAGTGCATTTCCGCACACCTTTTCCACTTTGTGCTTTTGTAATGCTGAGAGTGTATGAACGCATGAAGGCCAGCTGTCATTTGCTCTGAATTAAGGTTCTGTTTCCGTCTCTGCTTTTTTAAAAGTAACAGTCTTTATCCTTTTTAATTAAGGACAAGGGCTAATTATCCATATGTTCATTCCTCAGTCTATCCTTGCACTTTTCTACTACTGTAGCTTAAGTTCTATATTTGCTCCATTTACATCACTACCACTTGTAATAATCACCCCTGCTGGCTAAATCACAGCGTTCCCTCTCTGATACGGTATTCTCTGTGATATCCACAAGTTATCGTATCTGGATTTGATCTATTTAAATCCTTCATGAGCTGTTCAAAGTTCATTAACGGGGGAAAAGCAGAAAGAGGCCGGAGGAACAAACTTAGCATGTGTCAATCACAAAGATTCCTGACATATAAGAACAACCAAGTCCCTGTGGCTCTCCCTCGCCATCCTACTTCAGCATCATTACACATGAACACATCCTACACTCCTTGTTAGAGAACTTCCTCTGGTTGGCCTGAGTCTGCTGAAATTCTGCAGACACCCCACTTCTTTCCAACACTAGTTTACCTGCTCGAAATGCTGTTAAAGCTGGATCCATGTAGGAATTCACAGTACTGATGTTTGAGACTCTGCTGCAGTATTGCCAGTGCTGATGGTTTTCTTTGCTTGTTTATCCATGATAGCTTTGATTGCCTTTTTGGGAGTCAGTCTGCTATCAGTTGGTGACTGCATGGGGTCAAGTTTGCTATTAGATGGAGTCTGTTTGTGATGATAAACTGGAAAAAATCACAAATCTCTTGCTATCTACAAACAAAGAAATTTACATTAACTACCGGTACTTACATTCAGAGTCCAGCCAGAATCTCATAGATCTGAAACAGAAATTCCACTAAAAATGTTGACGTAGTTGCTGCAGGACAAAAATTTTATTGCAGTATGACGTAGCTCGATCACTTTGTTTTTCCATAAGAATATTTCAGCAGAATGCAACCACTTGATTTAAGTCCGCTGCTGCAAAGAGATACATTACGCTCACTGGCGCAGGCTGACTCTGCTAGTTTGGAACATGTTGGCAACCTTTCTGTGTTTATTAATTAAGCAGCAGTTATTTCCAGACTTTCACCAATCAGTCCGAGTCACACCGTGAATGTTTGGAGACAGGTTGCCTCCCACCAGGTGTCCAGTGCAATCACGATGCGGTAGAAAGTTGCAAAATTGAAGACAGATTTCTTTTAATTTTCTTTTCTTCTCCTAGCGTGTATGTTGATGACACCGCAAGAGAAACAACAATACTGGTTGATCGTTTAAACGGGTTCAAGACACATTCTTATGGCAGAATAATCGTAGTGAAGTGCTAGTTGTTTTTCATAAGGAATAATAATGCATTAGGGTGGGACTGTAACCAAGAAAAATGGAGGTGAAGCTACTAATGTGCTTGTTACGGTGTCTGTTCTCACCTAAACCCTAATGATTTTGTAAACTGTTTCAGGTCCCCTGGCTCGCCAGAAAGTGAAGTTTGCACCATGCTACCCACCTTACACCACATTTCAATCCAGAGTCTTACACCGTAACACATCTGATCACTTATCTTGTTTCGACTTTCATTTACAGTTGCTCTAATCTGTCATTTAAGAATAAAGAGCCTAAAAGAGCTCAAAACTTTGATTTCTGAAATGTATTTATTTTTTCCTTTGCCTGTGCTGCACCTCTCTAACAGCAAATCAACCTGACAGTATTTTCCTTAATGCTGCCGACGGGCAAACAAAGAAACGGCAACTACACACAGAAGCCCCACCTCCTTTGGCAGAGGTAGAAAAATAAAGGCACAAAAATTTATTTTTGTAAGGTGCTTAGCGAGTCATCTGTTGGTACAAAGAACCATCTGCCAGAAAGTTAATTGGCAAACTGGTTCAAAACCTCACCAATATAATGTGAAAGTTAAAAGAATTTGGTGATCAAATGTATCAGAAACAGCCCTCTGATCAAGTAACTAAAAACATTTGCTGGCCTCTAGACATATCATATTCATCTCAGTCAGGCTGTCGAGACTCAAAAGCCAGATTGAAACTCAAGTTCAAGTTAAGTGTGGGGTTTTTTTTATGACTTTCTCTACAACTGTACTGAAAATAGAAGATTGGAGTCAGTAGTCAACCATTGCTGATATATTAGACAACCATAAATAAATATAAATATATATATATATATATATATATAGATAGATAGATAGATAGATAGATAGATAGATAGATAGATAGATAGATAGATAGATAGATAGATAGATAG